ACTACAAGTCTAGGGGTCTCAACCGCCACCCCGGCTATCACGTCAGCCAGCTCAGGCAGGGCCGTTGACACATAGCAGGGGGCCAGGTATATTATCAACAGGCCCACTTGCACCCCTTGCCCCCACTTCACAAGGAGGGACTCTGCACCGTCTATCTGAGGCACAGTGGCCTCCCTTGGACACAGGCTCTCCCTTATAAGTAGTGCAGTCATGTAACATTGCACTTTACAACCGTGTTGCTTAGCAACAAAGTTTTACCCTATTTTACGACCTTTCTCACCACAGTTGTTAAGTGAATCTGGCTTCCCCCATTGACTTTGCTTGTCAGAAGGTTGCAAAAGGGGATCACGTGACCCTGGGACATTGCAACCGTCATAAAAGCCAAGCATCTGAATTTTGATCACGTGACCACAGGGATGCTACAATGGTCGTAAGTGTGAAAAATGGTCATAAGTCACTTTTTTCAATGCTGTTGTAACTCTGAATGGTCACTAAATGAAAAGATTGTAAATCAAGGATTACTTGTAAGGGATTTTCGTGAGGGTTTCTTCAAGGAAAGTGGTTAGAAGTGGGTTAAAATGTGCTAGGCTAGAAAGTGGGAGGCTGTGAGTTCAAGTCTCACCTTAGCCATGAATGCCCTCTGGGTGACTTTGGACCCGTCACTCTCTTTCAGATCTACCCACCTCACAGGATTGTTGTTGTGATCAAAATAGTAGGAGGAAGTTATGTTGGATATGTTTGCTGCCTTGAGTTATTTGTAAAATAATAAGGGCGGGATATAAATAAATAAGCAATCCAAACTAGTAAAACAATGAACAAAATGAACTTGCAAATAAAAAAATGAGAAACATAAATTGCCCTTGATGTATTTAGTCATCCCTGTGAAACACAAACATCCTGGAGAGTTTGGAATTTAAGGACTAAGGCAAACATATTTAGCAGGAATGTCACTACCATCATGCATTGCTACAAAAAGCACAGAGGCAAAGCAGTACAAAGTAGTACAACTATGCAGTCAACTACGGTAGAAAATTACAAAATGGTTGCAAGCATTCCAGTATCCAGGCATTCTTCATCAGGCAAGATAAAAAGAAGTCAGACAAACATAAGATGAGGAATATTGTGACTAATATTGAACTCATATCATTTCCAAGATCTGAGATGAAGCCCCTGTTTTGCAAAACCAGTTTCTCAAATACAGAGTACCATTTGGCCACTCAATCCCCCCCCCATTCGCAAAGTTTGCTAACCATATAGGATCTCTGTATTGAAAAAATATGAATTCCAAGTGTTAAAAGTATACCTTTGCCGGGTTCACATATCCATTACAGGTAGTCCTTGACTTACAATTGCAATTAAGCCCAAAATTTCCATTCCGAAGCATTGCAGTTGTTAAGTAAATCACTGCAGTTGAGCAGGGGGTTGGACTAGATGACCTCCAAGGTCCCTTTTACCACCACCACCACCACCATCATTATTGATCATCACACAGTCAGCCAGATGTTCAGACTGGATTTGGCATTTTTGTCTACCTATCGAGTCCTTCCCAAGGACCTGGGATAGGCAGATGTGGATGTTTGATGTTATTACAGATATCGTCGCAGGATGGAAGCAGTTCCTAGTAAGCCCGCCTTTTGCAATTGACTAATGGTGAATTTGTCAATGCCAATGGTGTTCAAGTGGTGCTCCAGTTGTTTTGGGATTGCACCCAAGGCACCTATTACTATTGGTACTACCCTTGCTTGCCTTTGCCACAGTCTTTCTATTTCTATTTGTAGGTCTTTGTATTTTGTGATCTTCTCCAGTTCTTTCTCGTCTACTCTGCTGCCTTCAGGCACTGCCACGTCCACTATCCAGACTTTTTTGTCTTTCTTATTGACAATTGTTAAGTCTGGGGTGTTATGTTGCAGGTGCTTG